GCCAGGTGGAGCATGACGGACAGCCGGCGGTCACCAAAAACCACACCCTGGAGGCCTCTGCTCCCCAGAAGAACCAGGATGCAGATGAACCTCTTGGTGAGGCCTCCACTCCAACTGACCCAGTTCTTTACCTTTTTTTTAATATTAAAGGTAGTAATTCATGCTTTTTATAGAATGATCTAGAAGTGAATAGATGTAAAATAGAACTTTAGAGTGAGTTCCCGCCCCTAAACCCCACACCCCCAAGAGTGACCACTTGTTAGAGCTTGGTATATTCTTTACAGATCTTTTGACATAAATATCCATGAAAGAAAGAAAGTAGGGAAGGAGAGAGATCATCCAGTCCATAGCGTCCTGCCTCTTGCTTTCTTTCACTAACAGTAGTTGTTTTCACCATTCCATGTCCGCCCACCTCCCTCCGGCTTGCTCTTTCTTACCTGGGCCTTGTCTCCCTGGCTGCCATCGCAAGGGTGCCCCACTGGGAGTAGGGATGGGGGCTTCAGGGTGTCTGTGGCTTATCTCAAGTAAAATCAATGCTGCACTAAATGTCCTTGTACATATTCTGTTACATGCACAGCTATTTCTGTGGGACGATTCCCAGGGAACATTTCTAGGCCCATTTAAGGTGATGGTGACGCTGCCACCCTTCTCGGAGAGTGAAAGGTGTCAGCCCCCATCCAACCTGTTGTCGATGTGTCTCCCTTCTTTCTTCAAAATGGCAGCACCTAGTTGGCGTTTTGGTACCACTGTGGAATGTTCCATCACCTGTATGCTTGTATGTAGCGACCCTTGGAATGGATTAGAATAGAGTCCATTTCCTTCCTTCGTGCATCCTTGAAGGAAACAGCTCTAAAGAAGCCTTGGGGCCTGTCACAGTGCCCTTTGGTGCCACCAATGGCTGGTTTTCACAGGATGAGCCCTGCCCCTGGAGACAGGTTGTGTGGATCCACTCCACCTGTCACAGTCTTGCTGGGGAGCTTGGACAAGTCAGTCAGTGCCTGTCTCTGGGCTGCTCTGCCTGCTTCTGGCAATGTTGAGGGAGGTGACCCTGGTGACCCCCCAGCTTTGAGTCTCAGCTGCTAGGACCATAGCTGTCACAGCATTATAGCTTCAGGTCTGGGTATGCAGTAGACACTCAAGAAATACTTGTAGAAAGGATGAAAGAGTGAATTAGCTGGTTGATGTGCGAGCTGGTTTTGTTAGTGAGGTAATCCTCAGAGCTATCCAATGAGGTAGAGATTGCTATTGGCCTCAATAACATAAGCCAGTGTGTGAGGGGGGCTTAAATGACCTGCTCAAAGTCACACCACAGAGGGCAATGATTTGAACCCACGTGTCTGAGACCTGCTCCTGGCCTCCCACTGTGCCCTCATGTGGGGTCCCCTGCCTGTGCCCGGTGCCACCCCTGCCCTGTCTTCGTGTCCCATGTCCTGGGCTCAGTGCTCCTAGGCCCAGGCCCTGGGCATGGACCAGGGCACAGTCTCGGGGCTCTGAATGTCCAGACGCACGTCCAGCACTCCTCGCCACCCCTGCCCCCTGCGCTGTGTGATGCCCCAGCTACGATTAGGAACTCCCTGTGTGGCCACCCCACGGCTCACTTAGATGAGGAGGAACATATGTCTGTTCCTCAGGAGGGAGATTCCTGCCCATGCCCTGCAGCTGGGCCTCTCCGAGGCTGACGGCAGCGTTTCCCCCGTTACCTCAGCACGGTTTTTGCACTGCCGGTGGGTAACCCATGAGGAGAGGTGTGTGCAGACCCACGGACGTGCCCCATGTGGCTTGAAATGTCTGAGCCAGATGTTTTCAGTTAATGAAGCCTGCTTCGTGGTGAATAGGGGCAGTGGGTTTTCCTTTTTTTTTGTTTTAAATTTTTCTACAAGAAGCCTCTATTTTGTGTGGTCCTAGACAAGGCTGACAACTGGAACAGCATCTTCATCGTGGTGGGCGTAGTGTGTGCCCTGCTGGTGGCCCTGGTGATCGCCGCCCTCTACCTCCTCCGAATCAGACAGAAGAAAGGTGGGTGCATCCCTCAGTTCCTCCTCATGAGTTTGCCCCTGGGCTGTCCTTCCCAGAGGGGGAGGCCTCATGCAGTTTAAGCCATAGAGATGTCCAGTTACTCCCGGTAACAAGAAGTCCAAAGGTAGCAGTGCCATGGCTGTGTGGGCCCTTCACCAGGCTGGAATCTTGGTGGGTCAGCACCCCCGCAGCCATCACTGCTCCAGGCCTCACATCCTCATGGGACCACTACCAAGGTGGCAAGCAGGGAGATGCCAGGGTGGCAAGAGGGCCTCAGGGAGGAAACAGTGTTTCCCAGGAGCCCCGGGCAGACTTCTGCTTTCCCCTTACCTGTCCAGGTTACATGCCCAGCACCCTGGCAGGAGGCTAGAAGGGAGTGGGGATAATACCACAACTTCTGAGGCCATTGGGAGGATTAAATGGCTGACTGTGGGTACAATGTTAGTAAGATGCCCAGCACACAGCAAGTGCTCAATGAATGTTAACTCCGGTCGTCAGTATTGTACATGAGCCTGGAAACATGAGCCACCTCCCTGGAAAGCCCCCTTCACTGTGGCAAGATGTGTGGCCTTGGACTGCAGCAGGAGGGTATAAGTTCAAATCCAGGACATCGTCCCCTTGTTTGCATGCTCATGCATGTGCGTGGGCAAGCGTGTGTGTGTGTGTGTGTGTGTGTGTGTGTGTGTGTGTAGTTGTTGCTGTAGCCAGACCTCTGACTTTGGAGTCAGACAAACTAGGGTTCCAGACCCTTGTTTTATGCCCTAAACAATTTGGCCTCCACGAGCCTCCATTTCCTCACCTGTAAAATGGGTGTGGCAGTGCCTGCCTTGGAGGATAGTTATGAAACAAATAAGCTTATGTGAAACAGCAGCTCTGACACATTCTCAGACCTAAAAAGATACATGTTCTCTTTCCCACTCTTGAAGGAGACTATTTTAAGCCAGTGTTTCTGAAACTTTTTTGGCTACAAGTGATAGAAATACATTTCATGTCTCAACCCAATGCACACACACCCCATCTATAAAATTGGAACTCTGATATTTTCCTTTTTGTCATATTTTGTACTATATTCTTTTAAAAATGCTGGTTTTGACCCACCACATGCCGCAGCTTATAAAGTGCAAAGTGTGGTCCCGAGCTGTGCTTCTGCACCCAGACCTCCAGGCAGAGCTCAACAGGCATGTTGTGCATCAGCCACACACCCCTCCTGCACCCCCTTTCCTCTGGTCCCCAAGTTTCCCTCCCCGCTGGGCTGGCTGGAGGGATTCAGCTCTGAGACACTGCCTGAGCCTCCAGCTCCCGTCCAGGAGGGCTAGTGTCAGGGCCCGCATCTCTGGAATCCAGAAGAGCTTCTGGCAGATGATCTACAGGGTGGTTTCCCTAACATTCCTGGAGCCCCCGCACAGGAAGGACTCCTCCTCAGGTGGGGAAGCAGGGTCCATTGCCCACCAAGAGTGACAAGCCAGCCCTTGGATGGAGTGTTCACGGTGTCCGCTCGTGTCCCAGTCCCCTTTGGAGCCTCATCCCTGGCCACCACATCAGGCTCCGGCACATGTGAGCTCATTACCATGGGCCTGGGCATCAGTGACCCAGTGTTCCGGAGGGGGAGGGGGCTGAAGAACTGCAGATGCTGGTGAAGGCCACCCAGCCCTGAGTGGTGCATCTGCTTGTGTGCAGAGCCCAGCTCTCACACATAGGCTCTAGAGACAGTGACAACTGGCCCTCAGTCAGATGTTCTGATGTGCCAGGCACTGTTCACAGACCTAACCCCACTTTACAGATGAGGAAACTGAGGCATGGGAAAGTTATAAAACTTGCTCAGGGTCTCGCAACTGGTGAGTGCTGAGGCCAGGATTCACACCTGGACAGTGGGTCTCCAGGGACTTTGTTTGAGACTACTCTACACTTCACCTCCATCCTAATGAGACACCCCTTCTCCCTCATTGGTCCCTGGAGGTATCTGCCATCCTCTACCTCATACTCACAGTGAAATATCCTAATTTCAACTCTATCACTTACCAGTTGTGTGACCTTAGGGAGTCATCCAGTGTCCTTGGTATAAAGTGGAGATGATTGGTCCCATCACTGGACTCCCTGAGATGACTCATGACCCAGCACTTGGCAACCCATCATCTTCCATTCAAATGTTAGATGCTGAGCTGCAGCATCTAACTGGTGTCACTCACCTAAAAATCCAGTACATGCCCAGGCACCAAGCGTTAATCTGGCAGTGAGAATTCTTGCATTGTGGCAGCCTCCAGCCTGTTAAAATGTGGTGCAGAGCACATTTGCCTGTGTGTGTTGCTTTTTAATTACAGTTTTACAGCAAAATGAGAGTCAACTGGTGGCTGAGCCCCAGTGGCTTCTCTGTGGGATGCCCCATATCACAGGCTTAAAATCTCTGAGCAAGATGGACCCTTTCTTTCCTCCCAAGGTCCTTTTTTGGAAAGTGGTGAGATGAAAATGAATGTCCAGCCCACAAGCTCAGAGAGGGAAAATGACCCACAGAGGGTCACACAGCAAGTGAGTCGGTGGCAGAAGTGGGATTCCCATTTACTCCCCTACCTAGCAGACCTGCTAAAACCTGTTCTCCAGCAGTGAAGGGCCCTGATGGGGACCCAGGCTTGCTGTAGGGTCTCTGGTAAGGTGTGTGATGGATGGAAGTGAGGCTCAGACAGAGGTAGGGCGGTTGACCCCTCCCAGGCTGAAGGCTGCTTTGGGATCTGACCTTTGGCAATTCCCAGAGATGGGAAAGCAGGAAGGCCCAGCTCACTGGTCTTCCTCCATGGAAAATAATGGGCCGCCCACCCCAGTGGGGTGGACATGGGGTTTCCTGTGGTTTAGAGGTGATTTCAATAATTCCTCCCAACATCCTTGGAGGTAAACCTCTGTCTCCGCCCCCCCCCCCCACACACACACAAAGTTACGTGAGAAAAGTGTGTTTCTAGGTTAAATAACTGGCTTTTGTTTCTTCTCTCTTTCAGCCAAGGGCTCCACGTCTTCTACAAGGTAAGTGCATCCCTGGGCTAGGGCGCTTTTGTAGTTATTTTGTTGTTTGACTCCAAAACTGCAAAGCATAATGCACACCCACTGCGCCAGTCAACTCTTTCTTTCCTTTATAAGCTCTTCTCACCAGATCCATCTTTAATTACTATCTCAAATGAGGGGATTTGAGGGGATTTCTGCACACAGAGGCACTGATTTCTTGCTTGCTGTCCACAGACAGTGAGACCCTTATCAAATCCCATTTGGACTGTGACAGAAAACTCCTGCACATTCTGCCCCCGAATCCAAATTGTATACTTTGCTCTTTCCTTCGTTCACTAAATATTCATTGAGTGCTTTGGCACAGACGGCCCTGGCAATGCCGGCATGAGTAGGATAGAAGCATCTGTGCCCTCCTGAAGCCCGTGACCTGGTCAGAAGCTAAGCCGATGACGTTACATCACAGATGGTACATTAGTTTGTTGATTCACATTATCGGTGATTTTTGCTGAGTCTCTACTGTGCACCAGCTCTGTTCTGAGCACTCAGGATACAGCAGTGAACAAGAGTCAGTCTGGGCCTTCATGAGGCTCAGATGCCAGTGAGAGAAGCAGGCAGTAAGCCTGGAGGCAAAACAGTATAACGCCCCGTCAGGTGGTGACGAATCAAACACAGCAAGGGGATGGAGACTGGGGGGCAGGGAGGGCAGGGGCAGGGCCTCCTCCGAAGAGGACATATGAGCAGGGACTTGGAACTGGGGACCTGTGAGGAGACACATGCTGAGCGAGAGAGCAGGCGAGGCAAAGGCCCAAGGTGGGCAGTGCCAGGAGGATGGGGAGGCCAGCCGTTGGAGCAGAAGGAGTGAAGGGACAGGAAGGGATGAGGTCAGGAGGCTCAGGCCCACATACCTTAGCTGTGGCCCATGCAGCAGATGGGTGACTAATCCAGACTTTGCAGCTTTAGGGAAGGCCCCTGACATTCACCCCAGCAGAGTAGAGGCAGCACCCCATCATCTACCACGTGAATGTACCTGCATGGAAACATGAACGTCCACACCAAGGACGATAAATACAAACTATAAATAGCTTCATGTTGTTCGGGACAGGTTTTGCCAGCAAATGGGTTTTGAAAATCTTTTGATATTTTTAGAGCTTTGTGGATTTCAGAATTGCAAAGCAGAACTGAGGATCTGGAGGGGAAGCCAGGGATCTAGGGCCTGTAGCTGTTAGGACTCAGGGTTTTACTCCCGGTTGGATGAGGAGGCTTAGGAGGGAGATGATCTGACTCTGTTTTAAAAGCCATCACCCTGACCATTGTGTGTGGACCAAGGTAAAGGAGGTGAGGGTGGAGGCAGAGAGGCCAGAGAAGAGGCTGCTGCAGTTGTCCAAGCAGATGGTGGTGACCTGGACCAGGGTGATGGGATGGGCTTCGAAATGGTCAGATTCTGGATATATTTCACAGGTAGAGCCAAGAGAACTTGCCGATGGATTGTAGGGTCAAGGACAATACCAAGCTTGGGGGCATAGGGGTGCTGTGTCCTGTGTTGGGGACCACAGATGCAGTGGGGAAATACTAGGCACTGCGGTTGCACGCAGCAAGAGCCTCTGACCTGTCTGAAGGGCCCTGGGAAGCACTGTGTGTCCCTCCTGCCCCACAGCCGGAGTCTGTGGTGCCCTTGGGAGAGAGCCTTGCTTTCGCTCTGACCTCCACAGGTGGCTTCCTGCTCTGAGCCCTGGCCAGCCTCCCAGCTTCCCCATCCCTGAACAAGCAGAGCCACCACTCCAGCAAAACCAGGCTCCTCGCTGCCCCCAGGGAAACGTGCTTCCTGTTGCCAGGCCTTCACCTGTCACACTTCCCACCGAAGGGCAAGGCTCAGCTTCCGTCCTTTGCCTAAAACCCCTCAGGGGCTCCCTGTGGCCCTCGAGGTGGTCCAGATGCCCTCCTGAGGCCCTCAAGCCCCTCGTGGTCCAGCCCTGCTGCGCTGGACAGTTCTACTTCCAGCCACTCCTGGAGCTCACATTCCGTGGCTCAGCCAACACTGCCCCCCTTCACCTCCTCCCTCACGCTGCATCCTTGCTCTCCTCGCCCTGTGCGCTGGGCCTCTCCCTGAGATGTGCTCCCCACCCCTGCTCCTGAGCCACCCAGGGTCTGCACAGCTTCAGGGGGCGGCAGTCACGGCCGGCTCTGAACAGCGCCCCCGGGAGTTGTGCCACATGGAAGCTAGTGTAGGCGCCCCTCCTTTTACCTGGTTACCTCTTGCTCTTCCTTCTGGGCTCAGCAAGGGTGTTACCTCCTCCAGGGACAGAGGCACCTCCTGGGAGCTCTCCTGATGCCCCTGGATGGACACCCCAGTGTGTCCAAGTTGTCTCTGCACTTGTCCCCATAGTATAACCCACCCCTCTCGAAGGCAGGGATTACTTCCCTCATGTTCACTGCTAATTGCTGCTGAACTTGGCACCATGCCCGGAATGGAATGGGTGCTCAGTAAAGGTTTGTTGAATAAATGAATGAACAAATGCCACCCCAAACCACCACAGCAATCCCCGATCTCTAACTTCCTGAATCCCTAAAACTCTCCCTGTCGGTGGCTTCACAGCCCCAAATATGGAAGGATCTCTCTTTTTTGTTTTGTTTTTATTGTTGTCACTATTTTTTACATGTCATCTCCTCAATTAGTACATTTCTGGAAGAAAAGGGGTGTGTCAATAATAATAATGACAACAGCATCTGCGGCTAACATTTATTGAGCATTCACCGTGTTCCAGGCACAGATCCATGATTTTACCTATATTAGCCCATTGGTGATTTAATTATTGCAAAAATCCTATGATTTACTCTTGTCCCAGTTTAATTCAACAGAGGTTCTGAAACTTGAGTGTGTAGCAGAATTCCCTGGAGGGCTTGTTAAAATGCAGATTACTGGCCCCACCCCCTGAGTTTCTGATGCGGAATTTGTATTCCTACCAAGTTCTCAGGTGGCACTGATGCTGCTGCTTCCGAGCTGGACTTTGAGAAACCCTGCTCTAGAAGCTTATTATTGTCCCCATGTTGTGGTTGAGGAAACTGAGGCTCAGAGAAGTCGTGTGACCTTCCCAAGGTCCCGCAGTTAGTAAGTGCTGAACCACGAGTCGACCCAGATTTCTCTGACGCTGCAGCGGAGGCTCTTCATCACTGATCCAGTGCCTCTTGCTGCCTGTTTCTTCTTCCCCAGAGAAGCCAACCGTTTTCTGCCTGTTTTTTATTTTTCCAGCATGAGCCTACCGAGGGAGCCGTGAGATCACTTGCTCCCTTTCATCTCTCTAAGCCAAAGCGTTAGCTAGTGAGCGGTAATGGCGCTTTCCCATGCAGCCGCCAGCTTCAGCTAGGCTGACTGGGATCAGACGCTTTCCAGAGGACATTGGCATGGGTAACGACCCAGCACCCCGGGAGGGGGCGGAGCAGGGGAGGGGGCAATGCCACCACTTTGAGCTCAGAGGGCCCATCAGATTGCAGGGCCAGTGGGGGGACTGGCTATTTCTAACTCCCTAGGTTAGGAACGTACAGGAGAACGTTGTAATCTTCCCCAGCTCAGATGAGAGAAAAATGTGGCTCTGCTCCCTTAATTGGGCACTGGGGTTCATTCGGTCGGCCATTTGTTCACTTGTCAGACATTCACTGAATTTATTCTTGGAATATTTAAGGCTTCCCTGACTCTTTTCATTTATTCATCTGGATTGAGCGCCAGGCCTTAAGCCGGGGGATTGCAAAGAGTAGCAAAAAAGACACTAACCCTGGTCTCGTGGCACTTTTGATCCCATGGGAGAGATGTTCATTCATTCAGCAAACATCTATGGCATGCTAACGGTGCACCGGCCCATTACTAGGTGTCAGGGCTCCGGCGGTGAATGACACGGGCCTAGTCCCTGCCCACATGGAGCTAGTGGTCCACAGGGAGGCAAGTTACCAAACAAGCTAGGAGGTTAATACACGATGTGCTGCAGGCACTGACTAAATAACACAAAGTCAGGTGCAGAGCAGATGTTGGGGGGGCAGGGGGTTGGGTGTGCGGTCGGCGGTCAGGGAAGGCCATCTAAGGAGGGGACATTTAGGAGACAGCTGAGGGGCGAGAAGTCTCTAGCCATGGGGTTGTCGGGGACAAGAGTGGGCCAGGCAGAGGGAGTGGCCAGTGCCAAGACCCCGAGGCAGGAGCAGTTGGACGTGTTCACAGACCATGGAGGAGGCAAGGGGGCCAGAGCTGAGTGCTCGAGGGCGGAGACAGAGGACTAGAGCATTTGGTGGGGGCACATCACGCAGGCCAGGCAGTCAGGACTCGGAGATGGATTTCACTGTGTGGTGGGAAGGAGTTGAGGGTTTTAAGCAGAAAGATGATATGACATCGCAGATGCATTTTACATGTGGGGAGTGGAGTGCAGGCAGGGCAGGAATAGAGCAGAGACGCCAGAGGCTCCTCAGAAATTTAAAACCTGGATGGTGATGATGACGGAGTGGAGGGGTTCGATATGTACTTTGGAGGCAGAGTCGACAAACCTTGCAGTGGATTAGACACAGGTTTTAAAGGAGGAGGGAGGAGAATCAGGGGTGATTCCCACTTCCTTAGCCGAGCACAGGGATGAGTAACAACAATGCCATCCACTGAGACAGGAGGGACCGGAGGAGAGACAGACGTGAAAAATGGATAACTGCTTCTGTTCTGTAATAATTGCTCTGAGAGAGGAGCCCAGTGTTCTGAGAATGGAGTTTGGGATTCAGTGAAGGTTTCCCTGAGAAAGAACTATGTGAAACAGCTCTGAGGGAAGAGAAGGAGTGAATCAGATGAAGAGGCAAGGAGGAATGAGTGTGCAAAGGCCCTGGGGCAGCCTGATTGTCATTCATTCCAAGTCAGTTTTGAGCACCCATAACTATGTGGTAAAGAAGCATGGCAGACAGCCAGACACACAAACCAGGTGGGAAAATATGCAAGAAGTTTGAAATTGCCACGGAGGGGCAGCCCAGCCAGCCCGCACTGTCAGAGCCTTCCCAAGGAAGTGACAACGTAGTTGAGTCTTGAAGGGTGAGCAAAGCTTAACCAAGAGGAAAAGTGGTTGAGGGGGTTCTTCAAGGCTGTTGTTGACATGTAAAGTGGGCCACATCAAGTAGCCCTTGAGAAATATTGGGTGAGTGAATAAGTGGGTGAATGAGGGCGAGGGAGTGAATGACCCCTAGGGAGGTCAGCCAGGGACAGACTGCACAGGGCTTACGAGCAGCGTGAGGCATTGGACTTGAACCGAAGGCAGTGGGAAGCCAGACCCGTTGGAAGCAGGAGGGGTATGGATGGAGCTGAGTGAGTGATAGTCCCCTCCAGACGGTGTCCCTGCTCCTGGAGGGCCGTTGCTGTGGCCACGTGGGGCCCGTCCTGCCCCAGAACTGCTTTCTGAGCCAAGCGCTCATGCCAAATCCATTAATAACCCCACTGCCAAGCCCCATTGCTCATTTCTGACATGATCCAGGCTAACATCCCCAGAGTGGCCAGCTTGAGAATTTACACAACTCCTGCAGAGCCAGTGGCTCTGGTTTGCTCACCACCTTGACTGTGACCCTGCAGTGAGCCAAGCCACGGCCTCCAATTACAGAATCAAGTGCTTGAAGGGCTTCTTTGATTAACCAGAACACTTGGTCCTTCTCTTTTCCTTTCTTAATGGTGACTTAGATGTGTATAATATAGAACATTGGGAAAACATGGGAAACTAAAAAGAAGAGAAAATACCACCCAAGGACACCTGCTGTTAACATTTTACTATGTTTCCTTCCAGTGTTATCCACACATTTTTCATAATTGAAATCATTCCACAGAGAATTTTGCTTTTATACCTATCATTTTAATGTAATCATTTGTAATTAGAAAAAAAACAAAAAAACTTCCTCATAAACCTTTTAAGTCTTTATCTACAAATCTATCCTAATTTCCTTAACCAGTCCCAGTTGGTGGAGCTGTGAGGTGTAAACCTTCCTCCCCCATCTCGTTCTGTGGTAAATGCCTCTGTGCATAAAGCTTTTTCTATATTTTGAATCCCCCCTCCACCCGGCCAAGTGTGTGATTATGAGTCAAAAGATGAGGACAACTTCCAAGCTCTTGACTTTGCCAAGCGGCTTCCAGAAGACGTGTCGGTCGGCCCCTCCCACCAGCAGTGTGTGAACCTGCCAGTTTCACTGCACCTTCCCCAGCACCGAGTATTATAATTTTTAAAGATCCTTGATGATAAAGTAGGTTAAACGAAAAAAAGGTAGTACATGCTGAAAAGCCCTTTGGTCCAAACATGTGATAAGCAGTTGTGTTTCTGTTGGGAATCGCTCGTCCATGTCCCCCACCCATATAGAAAGTGGAACCTAAATGTTATTCTTACCCATTTGCATGAGCACTGGAGATAGTGAGGGTATTTTTATCTGTGCGTCTCTTTCCTTTTTAGGTTGCATGAGCCCGAGAAGAACACTAGAGAAACAACCCAGGTACGGTGCTTGGTGAGATGCCCTTCCTGGGAAACAGGAACAGGCTGGGACAGACTCTCCCAGCTGGAGCAGAGGGAGGCGGGGCTCAGGAAAGCAAGGATCCTCCACCCCTGGCACCCGCCCACCCTGGCGAAGGAGTCTTAATTTAGAACAGGATCTGCAACTCCTGTTGATGCAAGGAAATCATACCACCGAGAGTCTGTCCCCGCCTGTCTGACTCAGTGCCAAACACTGCACAGCTTGGAAGGGCACCGTCCACCATGTGTTCTGTCTAAACGGTGCCCTGGAGTCGGGCTTAGTGTTCATCACGCCATCCAGCCTCCGTGCACGTGCCCAGCCAGTCCTTCCACCAGGAGCACCCTTGCAGCCCCGTGCCTCTCACACGGGGTAACACGCAGCACTGCACTGCCTTTGCTGATGGGCAGACCCCATGTCATTAATGACCTCACGCAAGGGCACACTCCCTTGAGCTGGCACTTTCGCCCCAGCATCACTGAGGGGATTTCAAGGCACCATGGCTGGCCTGTTTCCAAGAACTCTGGCCCTGTCTGCACCAGCTGACGCTGTCAGACCTTGGAGGCAGAGGGCTCCTCTGAGCCTTGTAAGGAGACAGGCCCTACCCTGAACCTGGAATGAGAACATGGCAGCTGTCCTTGGCATTTCCCTGGCAGTTGTCATCGTCATATCTGTAGTCTGTTGAAGAGAGTCAGGGCTGGTGAGAGGCACGGTGCTTCTGGGCCAAAACTCTCCTGACCCAGCACAGCCCCACCCCACCCTTCCTGCCTCCAGCGGGTCCTGGGCATGAGCTCAGGTGGTGATTAGAAATCCAAGACCATTTCCAGTCATGGGACAGGAAGGCCTTCTCCCCCGTCATTTTACTTTCTGGGGCTTTCAAAGTCAAAGTTCTTTCTGGAACTTTGCAGGGAAAGAATGATGGCGAAAAGAGTACTGAAACCTGTACAGAATTCACAGTCAGTTGGGACTTCCTGAGCACCTACTATGTGCCAGGCCCTGGGCAGTGAGCAAGGCTCTTGTGGAGCTTGCAGCCCTGTGACTAGGGCTCCCAGTGCTGTGGGCTGTCGGACCACAGCTTTAGAGGCCAGCAGACCTTGGCTCTTTTCTAGCTGTGTGACTTTGACCCAATTATTTAACTTCTCTGGCTCTCAGATTCTTCACCGTAAAATAGAGTAAATAATTCCTACCAAGCAGAGTTGTGTTAGGGCCTAAATTGGGTGATCCACGTGAGAGCAGGGCGCCTGTCAGCTGTTGGGGACTGAGGTTATTTTTGTGCATCAGGTAGGATCACGTGTGTTGGTAGCTCCCCTCCACTTCTATAGCGCAGGTGCCAGGCACAGAAGGAGCAAAGTATGTCATTCATGATGGGTAATTTCAAGGCGGCAGTTGTGGGTAATAAGATGAGCATGTGGGAGAGGTTCAGGTTTGCCAGGTGGCAGATGACAGCTGACACGTGCTGAACATATGTGCACTTGGCATGAGCCAGGCTCCGTCCTAAGAGCTTTACCTGGACCATCTCATCGGATCCTCCCAGTGACCCTGGCAATAGATACTATTATTAGACCCACTTTACAAATAGGGAAACCAAGGCCCAGAGAGGCTAAGTGAACTGCCCAGTTCCTCAGCCAGAGAGAGCAGAACCAGGATTCACACTCCGACTTCTGCCTACAGAACATTTACCTCCTGTTCACTGCTGGCGTCATTCTCACACACCCCTGTCTTCTGTCCCCCAGTCCCCAGCTTCACCAAGAGCGGGGCTGAAACTGTTGCCATCCATTTATCCATCCACCACTTGTTCATTCGTTCATTTAACATCCATGGGGCTTCTTCTGTGCCAGCCTTGGTTTCTGCATCATAACAGATGCCTAGTGAATTTTTGTTGAATAACTGAGTAAATAAGTGAATGTCCGCTTCCACTGGGGGGTCTGCATCTTCTCAGACCTCCAAACAGGCACAGACAGCCCTAGGTGGTGGGTGCTGTGATGCAGAAGCACAGACTGAGGAAGCACAGAGACGGAGCTCTGGACCCAGCTGAGAGGAGGGTCTTAGGATGAAATTGACAGGGTGGATTGGGTGTCATTACAAGAAGGAGGAGGGCTGGACACTGTAGGCAGAGGAAAGAGTATCAGGAAAGGCAGGCGAGAACTGCAGGAGGGCGTGACGTTGAAGCAGGGACGGGAGGCCATGACAGTGACGGTTAAGAAGACCCTTCAGGCCGTGTGAGGAAGAGGCTGATTGGAAGGGCAAGGCTGGAGACAGGTGGCCTTGGCCGGAGAAGAGGGGGCATGAACTAGGGCTGAGCCAGTGGAGGCCAAGGAGAGACAGAAGCAACCAGACTTGGTACTGAGGGTGAGCGAGTGGCTGGGGGCTCCAGAATGTCCTTCCCTCCATCTCATTTAGATCCAGGACAACAACGACATCACATATGCAGACCTGAACCTGCCCAAGGGGAAGAAGTCCACCCCCAAGGCCGACGAACCCAACAACCACACGGAGTATGCCAGCATTCAGGCCCGCCCACCACCTGTGTCCGAGGACACCCTCACCTACGCCGACCTGGACATGGTCCACCTCAGCCGGAACCCCAAGCAGCCAGCTCCCAAGCCTGAGCCATCCTACTCAGAGTATGCCAGTGTCCAGGTCCAGAGGAAGTGAACAGGGCCGTGGTCATCTCTAGGGTCTGTCCCCATGAGCCTTCCTGTCCCATTGCGGGCAGCCTTGATGAGGACAGCAAGCCCAGGCCCTGGAGGGCCAGGGTGGGACAGGACCCAACAGTGAGGGTAGCTCTTGTCTCCCCAGCCCAGCTGGCTCTCCAGCATTTCCACGGGAGCCATGGCCCCTCTATGTGGCCACACATGGAGGCTAGTGTTGCCAGACTAGGCAGGGAACCGACCTGGGAACTGGCCAGAGCCATCAGGGGTGCAAGAACTCTCACGCCTCTGTCCATCAACTGTGGGTCTTTGTCATGGTCTTGGAGACCACTGACTGCCTCCTTGACACTCTGCAGCCCGATCTTCCAGAGTGAGGAGGGAGAAAACCCACCTCCTCCTCCCAGCACCACCCGCCTGGGCTTTGGGGAACGTTTTCCCTTTAGATCGAACTGCCCATCCACGGAGAAGCTGGGCGCGCATCCCGAGACTTGGTGCCGTGGCTGCCAGCAGTCCTGGTCTCCCCTCCCTGCCCTGACCAGCCACAAGCCCTGGGGAGGAGAGGACCGTCTGAGGAAGTCCTCCGCCACCAAGGACTGAGACAACGCCCCTCACGGCCCTCGAGACCTGGAGGGCCTCCGACGGTGAAACTCCACGTGGCCCCACCTCTCCCTTCCATACCTGAGCTCGCTTCCTTCAGCAAGCACTAACTCACAACCTCTTGCTGTGGACGCCTGTAAATTATTGAGAAATGTGAAATGTGCAATCTTGAAACTGAGGTGTTAGAAAATTTGATCTGTGGTGTTTTGTTCTGTATTTTTCTTAAAACAACAGCAGTGTTATCCTGGCTCTTTGTCATGTGTTGAAGTGTGTGGTTGGGTCTTGTGCAGTCTAAGGTTGAACGGTCGGTTGTCCTGGAGGGATTCTCTTACAGCGGAAACTTGAGTTCCTCCCAGTCCCAGCGGCTTGAGGGTGGGGCAGAAGGTTCCAGGTGGGCTGCTCCATGGAGACACTTAGCCCTCTCTCCACGAGGCTGGTACTTCTGCCTTCCGAGCCCCCAGTGTGCTAAGTCTGAACCTGCCCTTGCTTCTCCAGGCTGCCTCCTTCTCCGTGTGGCCAAGACCCAACGCCTCAGTCTGCTCACCTGTGAAGAGGGGAGAGGAAAGATGCCATCCCTCCCCTCCATCGCTCACAAGCACTTTAGGGCCATGCGGGGTAGGAAGCTGTGCCTGGATGTTTTCCCCATTCCAGCTCTCTGAGCTCATCTCTGAAGGTGGAATCTTCCATTTCTGCTCCCAAACCCTGTCGAGATCAAACTGGAATAAATCAAAGACAGCCAGGAGGACTGGGCAGCTGTGAAGCCAGGAATGACCCACCTTCTGTCACTCTGTCTCAAGAGGTTGGGCAGAGGCCGTGACCCTGTTATCCTCGGACCCCGCACCCCTCCAATTCAGTGTGGGGGCCTGGCTGGACCCAGTGCAAGCAGGTGTTGCAAGCCCTGTTTATTCGGTCTTCACGTGTAACTGATCAGCTCTCAGAGCTGAGATGCGAATCTTCACTGCCCCCTGGGTCCAGCCATTTGATGCCCGAGGGATTCCTGGCTCAGGCTGTCAGAGGCAGAAGCTGAGCCATCCTGCCCATCAGCAGGTCCTCCAGGTGGAACTCGGGGAGCCGAGTGCAGACCCAGCTCTCTGGGGGATAGTGATCTGTTTTACATGATGGCATGCAGGAACTGGCTGAGCCAACAGGCCATGTGGGCAGCCCTGGCCCCACAAGCCAGAGTTTCTCTGTGGCATCTAGGAGCACAGTGGCCCAGCCACCTGGCTCAAGCTATTTCCAGATTCCAAAAGCTTGGCTTGTAAACCTTGATCTCCCTCTCTTCTGCCCAGAGAGAGCACACGCATGTGAGCACACACACACACACACAGAATTTTTAAAAAATGTTTTCTTGGTGCCATTTTAATTTTATTTTATTTTGAATTTTGGAAGGGGAGTAAGGAATGAGGCCAAGAAAGTCACGTAGTTTAGCTTCAGCCCGGAAGCCTGGAGATTCCCATACCTTGTAAACCGAACCCCAGGAAAAGGAAGCAGTCGAAACAACAGTATGGAAGGAGCATGGTTTCTGGAGTTTATTTTCAAACTGCGGGGAAGGAAACAGGCCCTATTTTGTATATAGTTGCAACTTAAACTTTTTGGCTTGCAAAATATTTTTGTAATAAAGATTTCTGGGTAACAACGGCCCCTCTGGGTGTTGAGTGTCCTTGTGTCTGTGAGTTTGTCCCTGCGCCCACGAGCCTGGGAGAAGATCATGTGGGCCCCAGGGCTTGGAAGTGACTTCAGCGTTTGGTGCTCTCTTGTGTTTTATAGACCCAAAGACTTTGTTTCCCCTGGCTCAGAGGGAGTCAGGGTAAGGCAACCCAAACACCTGCTTGAGCAGAATTCCAACAGAAAACCATGTTTGAATCCCGGCTCTGCCACTTTGTAGCTGCGGGAACAAACCACTCACCTCTCTGAGGCTCAGGCTGATCATTGGCACAATGCAGACAATAATACCCCCTCTAGGTTTAGTGTGGAGATTAAAGGGGCCTTCACTGGCCCCTTCACATGGCAGGCCTTCACTAAGCGTTGGGTCTTCCTGCCCTAAACATTGCACAGTGGGGTCTGGTCACCCCTTACCACCTGTGGGATCTTGGACAAGCAGGTCACCCTTTCGGGGCCCCACTTGCCTCCTCTACCAAATGTGGAAGCTAATGCTTGTCCTAGAATAACCCTGCCAGATGATTCATGTCTCGTGCTAGTATATAGTAGGTGCGCAATAAATGTTAGTTTCTTTATGTCCCCTCCATAAGAATATTAATATTAATGACAGTTATATAATGATGGCAACATAACATTCATAGTTAGTGCTTACTGTGTGTCGGCACTTTACATTGATTAACCCCTTTATACCTTACGACTCCAGGTAAATAATAGTACTGACCTTGTTTTATAGACAAGGCACAGAGAGGTGGTGTAACTTTTATGGGGTCACACAACTAATGAGTGATGTTGCTGAGACTCAAACTCTAGATGCCAGCTTCAGAGCCCAACTTCTAGCCACTGAGTTAATACATTACATATTGGCCCTGACTATGCAAAATTATTAGCAGTAATAATAGCTAATGCCTGCTGTGGTGAGTAATATGCCAAATGCTTTACAGTTATTAACTCATTTAATCCCCCAACCACCATGTGAGGTAGGAACTCTTATTATCCCTGTTTTACAGATGAGTAAACCAAGGCACAGAGAAGCAAAGTCATTTCCCTAATGCCCCATGGCAGAGCCCAAGTAGTCTGGCTCTTCTTTCTCTTTTTTCTTTTCCCTCTGGCTGCGTCGGGTCTTTAGTTGTGGCACGCGGGATCTTCGTTGAGGCATGCAGGATCTTTCGTTGCGGCATAGGGGCTTCTCTCTAGTTGTGGCGCACAGGCTCCAGGGCGCATGGGCTCTGCAGTTTGTGGTACATAGACTCTCTTGTTGAGGTGCGCGAACTCAAGAGTTGTGGCTTGCGGGCTCAGTTGCCCCGCGGCATGTGGGATCCTAGCTCCCTGACCAGGGATCGAACTCACATCCCCTGCATTGTAAAGCAGATTCTTTACCACTGGACCTCCAGGGAAGTCTCTCCATCGTGTTTAATTCTCCTAACTGTCCAGTAGCGGTGGTGGCTGTGCCCATTTTGCAGAGAGGGACAGAAATTTGAGGCTCAGAAGTGCACGTGACCTGGCCAATCTCACACAATGAATCTTTAGTCAAGCTGGGACTTGCACTTGGATCCACAAGCCCACCCGGATCAGCCCTGAGCCCTTGGCCTGGTCCATGTGACCACACAGTAGGCAAGGAGCTTCCTGCTGGGCTCAGAGAGGTCACCTGCCTCACCCTCCGGGACCTTGGCTGTGACGGAGAACTCAGCTCCTCCCTTGGCCCCAACGTTTGAAATACATGTGCTGCTTGCAGGATGAGGTGTTCCAGGCCTGAATACAGGCTGAGCAGGTGGGGAAATGCCTTCGTTCTCTGGGAAGGCGGGAGTGGGGGTGCCGACTGCACATCCAGGCGAGGAGACCGGGGGGCGTAATTCACGCAGCACCTGGGCCTCACTTCTCCACAGCCCGTATCTCTAGGGCTGAGGTTGGCAGGCGAAATCTAAGTTCATGGGACTCAAGTGACGCTCTCCCTCCTGCCGGGAAATAAGTCAAGCATTCGGCATTTATCAGGCACCTCCTGGGTGTTCCTTGTGCAAAGGAGAGCGATAGGACCCCCGCAACCCGCCCCCATCCCTGAGGACCCGTGCTCTCCCTTCTGCAGCCCCTGCCCACTTTACATTATAATCACGAAAATCTCTGCCCCTTCTCAAGGTTCTGATGCCCAACTGTAAAAGCGCCTGCGTCTTCTAGCATATTCACACCAGCCAAGATTCGATCCACATTAGTTTATTTTATTTAGTTTTAACATAAGCCCTTACACATATCAGAAAGTCTCCTAAACTCTGTACAAATATTAATTTATTTAATATCAGTTCACTCCAGCCTCTTAACACACCTGTAAGGTAGGTCCTAAGATTATCCCCGGTTTAACAGAGAAACTGAAGCACAGAGAGACTATGAATTTTGTTCAAGAGCCACTGTCCATCTGGACAGTGGTGCCACTGTGGGTATGGGTGGGCACTGGACGGGCATGATGGGGACAGGGGGCTGCTGGAGAGACAGCAGTGGCCACATACAGGGTTGGGGTGCACTGGACTCTATTGGGAGCCAGGAAACATCATGCAGTCTCAGGGTGGTCTCGCTCCCCTGTCCGGTCACCAGCCAGCCAATGTACCCTTGGGCCTCCCCAGGGTTCAGCCTGCCACCACTGTGGTCCCCTCTGTCCCCCCCTTAACCATGGCACTGTGTTTGACTGGAATCTGGGTCTGTTTTCTGAATACAGGATTATGAAATTTAAAATGCTTTCCAAAGAGACATGGGCCCCAGATGTTCAAAAACAGGCAAGAGCTTGGGGACAAAGGTCAGAGTGGGGGCTATCCTTGGAGGAAGCAGTGAAGGGGAGAAGGCCTAGGGGCCCTCTGGGGGCCCTCTGGGGGTGATGGGATGCTGTTTCCCCACCCGAGTGGTGGTTATGTGGGGACTTGCAGATATAAAAATCCATCGAGTACATACTGAATATCTGCATTTCTCTGCATATAAGTTATACCTCAGAGTTTTAAGAAGACTGGTGCCCTGGTTCCCTGGGGATTCAACCCCACCCCACCCCCAACTTTGATGCCTGCCCCAACCTGACACTTTCTTAACGTGGAGCCCACACCTTATCTTTTGTCCAGGAGCTCAGCCCAGGGCCTGGCCCAGGTGAGGGGTTAGGGAGCATTGCTGAATTCCTTTGAGATAACATCCAGGTGACCTCAACAGCACGAGAAACAGTGAGGAACCATTTATCTGTCATCACTTTGTCTACTGAGACTCCCTTAATTACCCCCCTCCTTCCCTCCTCACCCTGCGCCCAAACCCCTCCTCTCTCCACCCGGGGGTGTCAAGACAGCTGCGCAGTCCTCACCCTGTGACCTTGGGCAAGTGTCTTCGCCTCTGAGCCTCCATTTGGTCACCTGTGAGATGGGGGAGTAGTAGTCTTCAGCTCAGGGGGCTCCAGTGAAGGTTAGATAGAGAATAGATCAGCCCTTTGCAACAGTGTGGTGCAGATGGCAGTCAACACACACACATATTCACACACGCTCACACGCACAGTCACACACATATACCTTCACACCCACACCCACATTCACACCCCCACTCTCACATGCCCCCCCACATACAGATTCACACACAATTTCACACACACACACACACACACACACACACACACACACACACCCCAAGGCCAGGTTCTCAGAGGAGCTCAACCATGGTGGCTCCCCTCTCCTGGCTGAAATGATTTTATCAAGTCCCTCCCTCCCTCATTAGCCTAGGACGGCTCCCTCTTACCAACTTTGGGGAATCCAACACCTCAGCCTGGTTTCCAGGGTCTCTTCCTTATACCCTACCTGGTCTATTTAAGGTTACTTCCTGCTCTTCCCCAGCCAGGATGGTCTCCCTGTCCCAACAAATACCACATGGAGCTGCCTCTGGCTGCCCTAGCCCCACAGTCACCTTCCCTTCCTCCAGTGACTAAGTACCACCCCCAACCAGACCATGAGCTCCCCACACCAGATCTTCACTTCCTACCTTTGGGATCCAGCCCCTGGGAGAAGGGGGACTGAAGCCCACAGGATTGCAGGGAACTGAATTCTGTATTTCACTGAAACTTTACTTCCTTTGCAGATGGGTGCTATGATGTCCATTTCACAGATAAGAAAATTGAGGCTCAGAGAAGTGAAGAGATAAGGTCAAGATCACTCATTCAGCCAATAATTATTTCTCAGGCTGTGAACCTGGCCCTGTGCAAAATTCTGAGGATACAATGTTGACAAAAGATGACCATACCCTTGTGAGCCCAGGAAGGGTGAGGGAGCCAGAGCTCCTAGTAATAATCCTAACACTGCATGAGTGCCACTAGAACAAGGGGGTGTCAACTTGACATTTCAGGAAATGATAAAACATGACAAGCACAGAATAGCAAAGTCAAACTCGGGTACATATCCCACAAAACTAACTAATCCTTTAGTGGGCCTTTTAAAAAATGCCCCAGTATGGCAACGAAAGGAAGTGCCACCTTCTTTGCCTTATTTCTGAGTTTTGGACACTTTTTCCTATTAGGAGAAAGTACACAGGTCTCACTCAACTTGCATAGGGCAGAGAGGCTTCCTGGAGGGGTAATTCCTGAGCTGAGCCCTAAAGGATGAGTAAGAATGAGCCAGAGAAAGAGGGTGTGGAGGCGCCGGTGCAGGCTCTGCCTTCCCCGTGGGGGCTGGCCCTGTGTTACTCTCCCCATCACTCCCTCCACTGGCAACTCCAGGCTCCCGACACTTCCTGGCAGGAACCACAGGGCCTTTGCACATGCTGTTCCCCCTGCCGGGAACACTTGCTACGTCTTTCCGGCTTGTCCTCCAAATCAAAGATGGGCTGAGTTCCTTTGTTGAACACCACGGTAACAACCTGTCCAGAACTTCTCCGTTGCAGCCCTGGTCGCAATTTGTAAGTATATATTGACCTTGTGGTGACTTAACACCCCTCTCCTCCACTGCCCTGGGAGCTGCCTCAGGGCAAGGGGTTGTCA